AAAGCCAGGCCGGGCGTCCCAGCCTGAGTCCAAAAGCCTGAGAACCAGGAGCGCCGAGGCCGCCGGCCCGGCCTGGGACAGCAGAAGACCAACGTGTGTATTCAGAACCGAAACACGGATCTCAGAGACATGCCCGAACTTTCACGCTCGTGCGGCATCATGCCCAACAGCCACGATACGGCTCCCCCGGTGATGCACGCAGGGCCTGGCCGAGGAGCGTGGGGGCGGCCGGGGCGAGCAGGAGGACTCGGGGCGCCCCGAGCGCAGTGGAGTGGGGGCCGGGAGCCTGGAGGGCCAGCGGCAGGGCGCAGCAGAGGAAGCCCGGCGGAGCTGTGGTCACGGGGCTCCAGAGAGGCTGGGTCGGAGAAAAGCGAGTCAGGCGCCTGGGAATATTTGAGAACCAGGAGGGAGAGCCCAGGGCGCGTGGGCATGTTCCCACGGTCCGCGGACAGCTGGAAGGCCAGGGAGGCTCTGTAACGAGCAGGAAGCAAGGGGACGGTTCAGGGTGGGACGCGGTCAGAGTTGCCAGCATCATAAACACGCACCGAAGGGTGTCCCGAAAACCGGCACTGGGTTGTTCCCAAGCCAAGGAGGCTCCGCGCTCCTGTCCCCTCCAGATAGCGACGCCCCGGGGGCACCTGCTGCGCTCCGGTCGCCCTCTGCGGCAGGACGGGCACGATCGCCGACACCACCCCGTGGCCTCGCCGAGGGGCAGCGGCTGCCGCCGACCTTGGCAAACATCTGAAGGGACCGGTGGCGTCTGAATTTGCCGTTAACCAAGTTGCTTCTTTCCCAGCTGTTTTGAAATTTTTTTTCTTTTAAATAGTATGATCCATTTTTAAGCCAAAGCGCATGGAATATTTCTAGAGGTCTTGACTCTGCCACGCGCTTATGTCTGTCCCTTGTCATTTCCCCGTATTATTCCGTTTCTCGTTGATTTGACGTCAGTCTGTGGTTTATTTCGTGGAGTTAATGTCTAAAAGGCAGATCAACTTGCATATGGGTTTACTTCCCCCCACATATTTCCTGGTTCACAACATGAACATAGTCAACAAATGTTTCTATGGTAATTTCGCGCAATGATCCTTCTTGGTCTTGAAGAAATTTTAATTTCATTCCAAAGCGTGTTTCATAAGATCACGGTGTCCCTTTGGGGACATTCCACATTTGGAACCTTGTCCAATGGCCGTTTTGACAAATGATTTAATGTGCTCTTTCTAGAAATGTCTCCATCTCCAACCTCACCGCTGTAATTCCGCTCTCCCAGCCATTTGATACAGCTTTTCCCTATAATGCAAGAGCGACCTTCACACACCCGGTGATCTTTAAGTTGGAAAACGCATGTCAGAAGCACATCTCACCATGAACACTACATCTGAAGAATCGATTCGGAATCCCCAGTCGCCAACACACTTGTCTACACTCCGCAGAGACAGGGCACCTTCGCTCCACAGTTCTCCGAACTTCATCTGCTTTTCAAAATACATCTTCAGCCTCTGGGTTTGGCGACAGCTCATCAGTCGTTGCCTGTCCGCCAGCAGCCGCCAGGCCGCCCCCGAGCCTGGGAGCGCGCCCTCGGGGTGACGCAAGCGCGGTGGACTAGCACCAAGTCCTGTTATTCGGCTTATCCCGGGGACACCTGACCTTTTACAGGTCGTTACAGGCTTTCCTTCCCACACAACTGTGTACCATGCCCTGCACTAAAAATTGTCTACTACTTGCCTTTACACTTGTTCAAAAAGCAAAATCCAAAAAAAATACATAAACGACTTTTCTAAGACTCTCCCACTTCTTCCAATCAGGTCAGAAATGGGGGGGGGGGCTTTGATGAAAGTGTAAGGTAGGGGAGATCAAAGACCTTTCCACATGGAGGCCGAGGTCTTTCGTAAATATGGTAGCTGGTCCGTGGTGAGCACGGGAGGAAAGGATTAGAACCAAAACATCGTGTTCCACAGACTGCCGCCCTTTCAAAAATGCGATGGTTGCTAAAAGCTGAGTGTTGTTACCATTAAGGAAAACTGGGGCCACCGTTGAAAAATCTTGTCCCATGAGTGCAGCTGAACAGAATATAATCTTCAGTTCACACATTAATGGTGTCAAAGGAATGAAAAGAGTAGAACATAACTTGGAGTAAATAACATCATTTTATTCTAAGTTATGTGGCGTGATCCACTATGGCCACCCAGAATTTTCTAGTTTTCCTTGCACAGAAGGTCCTGGATTCTAGCCGATTTCTTAAAAACAAGCATTTTAAATCCTACAAACGGATGTTATATATCAGTTTCTAACATACTGAGATTGTTTTCTCAGTCACCTATTTATTACGTGTCTTGGAATTACACCCTTGCACAGAGAAGCTGGACTGTTTCTGTCTACGAGACAACTTCATGTCAATGCCACGACCGTCTCTGTTGCAGGGGGTGCTCTTAGAGGTAATCATGAGTAATCTAATATTACGAATTCATGAACTATGCATTTGACTTCTCAAATACACACAGTACAGATGTCAACCATCTGTCAAAAGCTAGCTGATAAATATTATTGATTTGGGGGGGAGGTGTTTTTGTAGAAACGTTTGGTCTAAGTAGTGCTGCTGAGGTCAGATTTATTTCAATTCCACCGATCAATCTCATTGACTAAATAAACTGTAAAATTACCAAACCTATTGTTTGTTTTATTGAACAAATACATGCGTCTGTCAACTTGGACTTTCACATGGGCCAGCTCTTTGTCGCGCTTCTGGAGCTCAGCTACAAAACGGCAGGAGAGGGCTCTGCCTTCTGAAGGGCATGGACGATGTCGTGTGTGCCCTCACACAAAGAAAAAAACAACATAAACTGAGAAAGAAAACCTCTTTGATCCATCGAAGAACTGAGGTCAAGGGCATGCACTGCCCCCCAAAACTGGACAGACAGAAAGCGACCTGGAATCGCAGCTTACCAGGAGCAGAAGCTCGTGGCGGAGCAGAGCCGGCAGGTCACTGAGGCTGGTATCGAAGAATTACCAGGGTCTCAGTGGAGACCAGGGTGAGGTTCCCACAGACTTGCAGAGCCCACCAGGTTCTCACTATGAAGCTCAAAGAAAAATGCCTTCTTCCTTCAACAGGGAGAGAAGCACAGTAAATATTTCTAAATATATCCAGAGCCAGAATATCTGGTCTTGGCCCTGTTCTTTCTAAGGAAGGCCAGACCTCAAGAGAAACCAATTACCAATGTCTTCTCTGACATGGAGAAAGGCAATCAGTCAACGCCAGCCCCCTCCAGATTTTCTGTCTCACATTAGAGGAGAGAGGAGGTGGGGGGAGAATGAGCCTCATCTGAAGGTCACAGTGCAGGGACGCTGGCCACCACAAAGAAAAACATTTAAAAATTATTCGTAATATTATAGGGTGTTTTCCCTGCCCAGGACCCAACCATCACATCAACAGGGCTTTGGGACAAAACCAGGAAATTATAGGGCGAGAGCTGCAAGACACAGATTCCATATAAGGAATTTCTAGAGATGCCACATACGATGATCCAAGGACAACAGGGGAGAAATAAAAAGTACACTAGAAGGGACTGAAGCCTCTGGCACATACAGATAAACATTAAACCTCATGCTGAAGGCCTAGTTGCCTCCATCTGATTACCCAATGCACCAGAGACAAAGCAAACAGACAGACTCAGACATGCCATGGAAGTTGGAATTATTGACCTGGAACTTAAAATACTGTAACTATGAGTCATATGCGAGCGGGAGAAGTGGACAGTGCGCTAGAACAGGCAGTGCTATAAGCAGAGAGTTGGAAACTCTAAGAAGGAACCACATGGAAATGCTAGAAAAACCCTCTGTAACAGAAACCAATGCCTTTGACGGGCTAGACATCAAAGGCATTTCTAGACAGGGCTAAGGAAAGAATCAGTAAGCTTGAGGATTTGTCAATAGAAACCTTCCAAACTGAAATACAAAGAGAAGACAGAATGGGACAGTGTGACAGGATTTTCAGTAACTGTGGGACAGTCGCAAAGGGTGCAGGATGCACGTAATGGAGCCGCCAGAAGGACAAAGATGGGAAAGGACAAGTGGAAATGGAAACGTTTAAAGTGATGATGGCTGAGCATTTGCCAAAATTAAGGACAAACACCGAATCAAAACCAATGGAAAGGCCCTAAAGAGATCTACTTCTCTTAAGAACAGACAGATGCGTACAGGCAGAGCTGTATCCTTGGCTGCCAGAGTTTGGATGGAGGAAACTGGGGTTGAATGCTAATGGCAATGGTGTTTCTTTTGGAGGTGATGGAAATGGCCTAAAATTAGATAACTGTTGTACTCTCAAAGTTTTCCCAGGTAGTAGGCTTAGCAGACAAACTCCAAAACTGTTATTAAATGTTGCAAAAACATGTTTGAGAAGTAAAGAAAGGCGTGATCACCATGAGACTACGGCAACAAAGAGACAGATGTTATAAAAGGAACCACTTCAAAATTTGTGACTTGAAAACCACCATAGCTGAAGTGATCAATCCGCTGTTTCAACAGTTTATCTAAAATGGCAGAAAAAAAGAGACTGTGAAAACAGAGCAATAGGAATTAAGAATCATGAAGGGCACTTACTTGCAGTATTTTTCACAGGGGGAAAAAAAAATCTCACTTTCGAGTCTCAACAATGACACATAAAAAGGTCTGCAAGCCACGTGTGGGTTTGGTTTTTTATTTACAGATGGGGATCAGAGTCCGGTGCTCTCCGGGCGCGCTGATGAAATCCATTCCCATCGAGTAGACCTTGGCAGTGTGGACGGTCCCCCGCCGGTGAGGTCCCAGCTGAACATCTCTCCCTAACTCCCAGGCAGACGGCGCCCGACCCCGACCCGATGCCCCGGCCCCTCGGGGGGACCGCTCCCGGCGCCCCACTGCGGAGGTGAGGCGCCCGGGGTGCGCGAGGGCCGCCTCTCTTCTCTCCTCTCGCTGAACCTCTCCGGCTGCAGCCACTTGGCCCCCCGGGGGGCTCCCCTCTTCCCTCCATGGCCTTTCATAAGCTCCTGGAGGCAGTTGGCGGCCTGGGCAGGTTCCAGCTCCTGCAGATGGCTTTCCTCTCCCTCTCCTGCTTCCTCGTGTGCCCTCATATTTTCCTGGAGAACTTCACTGCAGCCGTCCCCGGTCACCGCTGCTGGGTCCCCACCCTCGACAATGACACCGCCTCTGCTAATGGCACCGGGATCCTGGGGCAAGACGCCCTCCTGAGAATCTCCATCCCGCTGGACTCGGACCTGAGGCCAGAGAAGTGCCGCCGCTTCCTCCACCCCCAGTGGCAGCTCCTTCACCTGAATGGGACCTTGTCCAACACGAGTGAGCTGGACACGGAGCCCTGCATGGACGGCTGGGTGTATGACCCCAGCGCCTTCGCCTCCACCATCGTGACCAAGGTAAGAAGCCCCCTGACCAGGATCCTGTGGGTGCGCGGCCTGCGGGGAGAGAACACAAGTGGTGAGCCTGTCACCATGTAGGAGTGCATTCTCTATTCCTGCAGCAAGTGTCACTTACTCCTGTTCAATGCCAGGCACCTACATATTTAATGAGTCTAATGAACAAAAAAATAGACATGCCCTTGCTATTATATAGCTTTTGTTTTTAGGAAGACTAGGGGCGAGGCAATTAATTTATGTAATGAGTTTAAAATGTTATTCGAGGTCAGCGATGCTCGGCCTGGCTTGAGAATTGGAAACATCTGGGACGCCGATGGGCCTCCAGCCACAGGGGCACCCGAGCCGCCGCGTGAGAAAGCCTGCGGTGAAATCCTGGCAAATTTTAAAGCTTCTCAAACGGCTGCACGCTGTAGCCGAGATTGAGAACTACTAAGTGTGAAATAAAACGAGGCATTAATGTAGCCAAGAGGTTTAGAGGAGGCTACCTAGGGGAAGTTATGTTTAAGCTGAGATCCGAATAATGAAGGTCAGCTGATGCGAAAAGGAGACGCTGGGGAGGAAGGAGGGTCCTGGTATAAAGAAACCTGTGAGTCATTTAAGCTGTTTCAATCAGGTGTCTACTGAGGGGTTATAAGCTGCTGTGAAGCTCTGCTGTGATGATTTCCTTCCCTTCCAGTGGGACCTGGTGTGTGAGTCTCAGTCACTGAAATCAATGCCCAAGTTCTCGTTCATGGCCGGAATGCTGGTGGGAGGCATCGTCTATGGCCATTTATCAGACAGGTGAGTGTCTCTGGATCACAGGTCTCTACTCTGGGGTATTTTCATGAACTCATGAATCGTTCTTCCATTAAGGAAACTTTATTACAAATTACACTGTCATGTGCGGCCGGCGTGGCTCGGCAGTTGAGCATCAACCTAGGATCCAGGAGATTGTGGTTCGATTCCCGGTCAGGGCACAGGCCCGGGTTGCGGGCTCGATCCCCAGCAGAGGAGTGCAGGAGGCAGCTGATCAATGACTCTCTCATCATTGATGTTTCTCTCTCTCTCCCTCTCCCTTCCACTCTCTGAAATCAATAAAAACATATTTTAAAAATAAACAAAGTTGGTGATATCACATTACCTGATACCAAACTATATTACAAGGCCGTAGTGATTAAAACAGCATGGTCCCCCCCCACTCCCTACATATATATTGATGATAAAGTTTAAATTAGGCAAAGAGATTAGTTATAACTAATAAAATAGAACAATTAGCCCAGCCAGGTGTGGCTCANCCCCCCCCACTCCCTACATATATATTGATGATAAAGTTTAAATTAGGCAAAGAGATTAGTTATAACTAATAAAATAGAACAATTAGCCCGGCCAGGTGTGGCTCAGTGGATTGAGTGTCGACCTAGGATCCAGGCGATCGGGGTTCAATTCCCAGTCAGGGCACATGCCCGGGTTGCAGGCTCGATCAATGACTCTCTCATCATTGATGTTTCTCTCTCTCTCTCTCTCCCTCGCCTTTCCTCTCTCTGCAGTCAATAAAGATATATTAAAAAAAATAAAATAGAACAATTATAACAATATACTGTACTAAAATTTATGTGGATATGGTATTATTGAGTAAAATCAGGGTTATTGGAACACAAGCACTGTGATACTGTGACAATCGATCTGATCATTGAGCTGGCTGTTGATTAAAGGTCGTATACAGCATGAATACGGTAGACAAAGGGATGATTTGTGTTCCAAGAGGAATGGAGTGGGGCAGTCAGAGATTTCATCATGCTACTCAGAGCAGAGTGCAATTTAAAGCTTGTGAATTGTTTATTTCTGGAATTTTCGATTTACTATTAACATTTTTTTAGTAAACAATTAGTTTTACACTGAGTATTATTCTGTATTAGCTTCAGGTGTATAGCATAGTGGTTAGACAATCATATACTTCACCAAGTGCCCCTGACATTTCCAGTACCCAACCGGCACCATACAATATTATTGACTATATTTCCCATGCTGTACTTTACATCCCCTTGACTGTTTTGTGACTACCAATCTGCACTCCCCAGTCCCTTCACCTTTTTCATCCAGCCCCTCAACCGCTCTCTCTGGCAGCCATCAGTCTGTTCTCTGTAGTTATGAGTCTGTTTCTGTTCTGTTTGTTTGTTTATATTGTTCTTTAGATTTCACATGTAAGTGAAATCATATGGTATTTGTCTTTTTATGACTAACTTATTTCACTCAGCACAATACCCTCTAGGTCCATCCATGCTGTCGCAAACCGTAAGATTTTGTTCTAAGGATGAATAGTATTCCATTGTATATAGGTACCACCGCTTTTTATCCACTCGTCTATTGATGGGCACTTCCATAGCGTGGCTATTGTAAATAAGGCTGCAGTGAACATAGGGGTGCATATATTCTTTCAAAGTAATGTTTTGGGTTTCTTTGAATATACACCCAGAAGTGGAATCGCTGGGTCATAAGGCAGCTCCATTTTTAATTTCTTGAGGAACCTCCATACTGTTTTCTATAGTGGCTGCACCAGTCTGCATTCCCACCAGCACGGCACAAGGGTTCCCTTCTCTCCACATCCTCGCCAGCACTTGTTGTTTGTTGATTTATTGATGATAGCGGTTCTGACAGAAGTGAGGAGATATCTCATTGTGGCTTTAATTTGCATTTCTCTGATGATTAGACGTCGAGCATCTTTTCATATGTCTATTATCCATCTGTATGTCCTCTTCGGAGCAGTGTCTAGTTAGGTCCTTTGCCCATTTTTTAATCTGATTGTTGGGTTTTGTTTGTGTGTGTGTGTGTGTGTGTGTAGTGTTGTATGAATTCTTTATAAATTTTGGATATTAACCACTTATCAGATGTATCATTGGTGAATATGTTCTCCCATTTAATAGGTTGCCTTCATTTTGTTAATGATTTCCTGTGCTGTGCAAAAATTTTGTTTGATGTAGTCTCATTTGTTTATTTTTTCTTTTGTTTCCCTTGCCCAAGGAGATACATCAGGAAAAATATTACTATAAGAAATGTCCGAGATTTTACTGCCTGTTTTCTTCTAGGAGGTTTATGGTTTTGAGTCTTACATATAAGTCTTTAATCCATTTTGAGTTTGTTCTTGCATATGGTGTATGATAGTGGTCTAGTTTCATTTTTTTGCATATATCTGTCCAATTTTCCCAGTATCATTTATTGAATAGACTGTCTTTACCCCATTGTAAGTTCTTGCCTCCTCTGTCAAATATTAATTGACCATGTAGGCGTGGGTTTATTTCTGGGCTCTCTACTCTGTTCCATTGACCTGTATGTCTGTTTCCATGCTAGTACCATGCTGTTTTGATTTCTGTGGTCTTGTAGTATAGTTTGATATCAGGTAGTGTGATTCCTCCAACTTTGTTCTTCTTTCGCAAGATTTAATATTTATATTTACATCTAATATTTTTGGACTGTGGTTGACCAAAAATGGGTAACTGAAACCAAGCAAAGCAAAACAGTGGATAAAAGGGGACTACTGTAGAGCAGGCTGTCTTATATGGTTTCAATTGGTCTCAAAGTTCTACTGGTGACAGATTGGAGAGGCAGCTTTGTTATGCTCAGTATCTATTTACAAACAGGAGAGTTGCTTTGGAGAAGATCTACTGTTGATTCTTTATGGTTTCAAGTGCAAAATTTCACTCATAGCAACACGGCCTACATTTCAGAGTGTGCCTTCTTTTTGATAACTTTTGCAACAGGTCATTATAATTCCCATCGCTAACCTGCCCCCATGTCCCAGGTTTGGCAGGAGGTTAATTCTCAAGTGGTGTTCACTCACGCTCGCCATTGCTGGGACCTGCGCGGCCTTTGCTCCGATGCTCCTTGTTTACTGCTCACTGCGCTTCCTGGCTGGCTTTTCTACCGTGGGCATCCTGACCAACAGTCCTGTGCTTAGTAAGTAAAAACTGTGGATTTTTAACATTTGTCAAGCCCTCATCATGAGTTTGAAATTCCAACCTTGTTTGAAGTCAAAACCCTGTTTGTGTTTTCTTTCAGTTATTGAGTGGACAGCACCCCGATTCCAAGCCATGGGAATGACAGTGACTGTCTGCGCTGCTTGCGTGGGACAGATGATTCTGGGAGGAGTGGCTTTTGTCATTCAAGACTGGCACATCCTTCAGCTGGTGTATTCTATACCATTATTTGTCTTGTTTCTTTCCTTAAGGTATCAGCTGTCTTTCTTCCTTTGTCTGAAGGATCCTGGGATGCGGGCTCAGGGAGTAAGGACTTAGAGTTCCGTTAGGTCCTTAGTGAGCACCTGAGCAGGTGCTCTATGACCTGTGCCTTATGTTCAATTCGAGAAGCAGGACAGGCAGGGCTGCCAGACAACGTCAAGGCCACTCAGTTGAATTTGAATTTCAGATAAACATTTTTTTTTGTTATAATAACCCAAACATTGCATGGTGCACAGTTATCCTAAAAACTATTCATTGTTTATATATAATTTCTATTTATCTGAGAGGTCTGTGTTTTTATTTACTAACCTGATACATTATAGAGTGTCTCATTAAATTAAAATTTCAAATAAATAACAAATACATTTTAGTGTATGTCCAAAATATTACACGGGACATAGTTACACTTAAGAATTACTCATATTCACAGTTTAACGGAATTCACATTTAGCTAGGCACTATTTTTATTTGCTAAAACTGATACTATTCCTTGAACACAAGGCGGGGCAAATATGACTCCTACTGTACGTTCCCAGCCACGAAGGGGTATTGTGTGGAGAGGGCATCCTCACAGTTTCCTAGTTATGGTCCAGGAGCACATAGTTCCTATTTCCTGGCGTAACGACATAGGAGGTGGGCATAAGACGGGGTGGGGGAGAGGCCTTTCAGGACAAGGGGTAGGCGGGACGTGGGCAAACAAGACTTGGCTGCTCTGCTTGTCTTCTTTGATCAGGTGGCTGGCAGAGTCTGCTCGGTGGCTGATTATCACCAACAAACTCGAGGAGGGCTTGAAGGAACTTAGGAAAGCTGCCCACGTGAATGGAAGAGAGAATGCCGGAGACACCCTAACCATGGAGGTGAGCAGGAAGGGAGCTGGTTGTGGGCTGCAGGGAAGACGTGACCTGGTGTGTACCTGGGTGGTGTCCGTGCGATGAACGAAGGGTGGCAATACCCGTAATCTTGCCTTAACTTCCCTGGTTCTCAATGGCTGCCAACACCGAGTTAACACTGAGAGCAGATATGCTGCTGCTGAGAGAATCAGACACAGGCCCTCTACTCAACAGAGGCAGATGTCACTTAGTATTTACAATGACAAAGATTTCACTTAGCAAAATGTCCTCAAGATTTATCCGTGCTGCAGCAGACGGCAGGGTTTCCTTTTCTGTGGACGAACAATGTCCTCTTGTGTGCATATACCACATTTCCTTTACCCACTGATGGGCATTTGGGTTGTTCCCATGGTTTGGCTTTTGTGACTAGTTCTGCAATGAACATGTGTGTGCAGATATCTCTTCAAGATCCTGCTTGCAATTCTGTTGGATATATACCGAGATGAGAGCTTATGGGATCACATGATAGTTCTAATTTTAATTTTTTGAGGCACCTCCATAGGGTCTCCATAGTGGCTACGCCAATTTACACCCCCCCCAATCCCGGTGTCCGGGGGCACGGCTGCCCCCCGCAGCTCCCGATCCTCACCTTCACGGTGTCCTCGGGCTGCGTGGTCCCCGGGCCCTGTGGCCGCCTCGTGCACCTTCCACGGCACGTCGGGCTGTCGGGGCGTCCTCAGCGGCTGCATCTCCCGGGAGACAGGGCAGGCGGTCTACCCTGTCCCCTGCGGGCGGCCGCACCCTCCCTGCGGTGACAACTGACCGGTGCGCTGCTGTCGTTGAAGGTGCTGCGGGCGACCATGCGGGAGGAGCTGGAGGCGGCGCAGACCAGGCCCCCGGTGTACGACTTGTTCCGCACGCGCAACATGCGGGAGAGGATGTGTCTCCTGTCCTTCGTGAGGTAGGCTTCGCGGCGCCACCAGGGATGTCGCCACAGTGCCGACGTGCCTCTGTTTACCTCGGAGGGACAGTCCACAGCTTATGAAAAGACTGACGCAGAGCTAACTGTACAGCGAGGGGTGTCGCTCCTCACGTCGCCCCACCGGGCTCGCCGCTGGAAACGGGCGAGAGCCGCAACCGTGGCCCAGATTTTTACTTTCTTCCCTTGCTTGTTTCTATTGTAATCGAGGTAAAACGACAAACAGTAAAGAGCAGAAGCAACGCAGCTCTGTGACTATTTACACGTGTGAATATGTGACTGCACCCGGATCGGGACGTAGAAAGCCCGAGAACCCTAGAAAGGCCCCTCACGCACCCCGAAGAACAACACTCCGCACCCCCCAGGAAGCGCAGTGACGGCTCTGGCCCGCGCGGGCCTGCGATAGTGCGGGGCGGGCTGAAACCATGGCCACGCAAAGGCGCGCTCTGCAGCGCCCGCCGAGCCTTCGCCCCTTGTCACCAACTGCCGGCTGCCTGGCTGACCGTGCTCGCCGGCGTCATGTGCATGACTCCGGTTCTGCGCCTTATGGCACCCGTCTGTCTTCTTTTGTTCCCCCAGATTTGCAAACTTCATACCCTTTTACGGCCTGAACCTCCACCTGCAGCAGCTGGGGAGCAACGTTTTCCTGTTCCAGGTTCTCTTCGGCGCTGTCACCCTCCCGGCCAACTACGTGGCGCTGCTGGCGCTGAACCACCTGGGCCGGAGGGCCAGCCAGGCGCTGTTCCTGGTCCTGCTGGGCAGCTCCATCCTGGCCGTCACGTTTGTGCCTCTAGGTGAGGGCCGTGAGCGAGGAGCGCAGGGACAGGACGGGAGCCGTCGCCCCTTTTCCCTCGGGGACCATTCACGCCTGTCTGAGGCCAGGCTGAAAGAGAAACTTGGCGCTAATGCTTCCCGAAACCAATCTGAGGATTTAGGGCAGACTCTGCCATTGAGTGGCTGGGAAAGAGCCAAAGGTCAGGAGAAGTCAGTGCAGGTAGACGGTTGTCTTCATCGGACCTGAGAATTACCCGGTAACTGGTGCCATTTGCTCCTGACTGTTTCTCTAAGGGAGCAAATGATCATTTGCCCTTTGGCCAGTCACACGTGTAGCTGTAAACGACAATACTGTGTCCACCGTATATCACTGGGTCTCGTGACGACACAAAACTCCCACTCCCTCTGCCTGGGCCCTGCCCTCTCTACAGCTTCGGTTCCAGCCCACTCCCTGGTTTCTCAACATCCACTCGTGAGTCTTGAGTTAGGTCACCAGGTCTGCGACCCTGGAAGTCTTCTTGACTTTGAGGAAATAAAAAGCCCTTGTTTTCCAGCAGAGAAGTGTAAACCAAGAACGAGGCACTCAGCAGTTAAAGCCTCTCTGAGAATCACTTTTACTAAATTAAGTGATCAGATGTCATGAAGAGGGGCACCCAGGTGGTCACCGGGCTTCCCCAATTCCCAGCATAGTGACTGATTTATGGGATCCCAGGCTGCGGGCTTCACTCACCTCAAATGTGAGCAATGATGCAGGTTTGCTGCCCGATGTTGTAACGCTCCCATGAGATGCGATTTTTTTTAATTGGGTATAAAACTGGCTCTAAAATGTCCTTTCAGAGGCTTTCAAAGTCTAAGTCTTTCTTCCCCCCACTACAGATCTTTCTCCTCGCACCTTCAGATGTTACCCTAGATCAAGCCGCTCTCCAGCTGATCTGCCAACACGCGTCCCGTCCTTTCAGTATCTTCCATTCCAGCACTATTGACGCTCCAGCCAGTGTTGCGTATGCCCCCGGGTTTTAAACTCTCCGAGGACACTGCTGAGTCTTACCTCCCTCAGTAATTGCTCGTATGACAGTCCTACGTTATACACAAAAGGTGACTCTGGACAGAATAAGTGAAAGCCAGCTCTTGCTGGCCTCACGTTGCCCGTCTCATCTTTGGCAAATTTCTGACATGTAGGGAGAGGTGATGCAAGAACTCAGGGTTTTCTCATTCTCTAGTTAAGACGTCACGTTTAGATTAGTCATATTTCTCAGCTATTCGTCCCTGTGTTCTCCACCTCTGTGCTTCCTCTACAACATGACTGACACATGCAAACATCTTCAACAGCATCCCTCCCACTGATGATGTGGGGGGCAGTGATTCCATCAGCTCAGGCTCCCCGAGCCTCACTGGTCTTCCTCCCCAGATATGCAGACCCTGCGTGTGGCTCTGTCAACGTTGGGAGTCGGATTTTCTTCGGCCGCTATCATGTGCTCTCTTGCCCACGGGAATGAACTAATCCCCACCGTAATCAGGTGCGCAATCTCCTGGCAGCTCTCTCAGGGTCAAGACACCCCTTTCCTGGCTAATTGACGTTTATAGCGGGGAGTGAACTAAGACTGATTAGTTATCAAAACAAGCAATTTTAACAACACGCGAAGTTTATTTACAGCTGCCTCTTGGCGGGCTCTGGGTTAAGTCCTTTAATGTATCACCTCACATATCCTGCCGAACCACTAAAGGGTAGATGCTCTGGGTAAGAGTATTTTTTAATAATGAAAACGTCTTAATGCTCCTGTGTACTGGAAAAAAGTTGCCAGCAAATAAGAGGTGTAGCAGCATCCTGCCAGCCTTCAGGTATCTGAGCACTGCTGTGCTGTGGCCCACGATCAAGGCAAAATGATACATCACAAATTCCACGGGAGGATTTTTACCGGCTTGTTTTTTGCATTGTTGTTTTTACCCCCAAGGGCAACAGCTTCGGCAATCATCGGAATGGCTGGCAACGCTGGGGCGGCCCTGGCGCCCCTCTTGATGATCCTGACGGTGTACTCTGCCCACCTGCCCTGGCTCATCTACGCCGCCGCCTCCTTCATCCCCTGCTTTGTGGTCTTCCTCCTTCCTGAAACCAGGAATCAGCCTCTGCCCGACTCCATCCAGGATGTGGAAAGGGAGTGAGTGACCCCCCCGCTGTCCCTTAGGGGAGCTGTGAGCTCACGAGGAAGGCGAAACACAAGTGAGACCACCGTCCTCGAGGCAGGTTTAGACCAGGACAGCTCCCAGGAGGTCAGTGCCTTTGCTTTGGCTCCAGCCTCCCCCCTCCTCGTAGTGACCTCAGACTCCCCAAGGCTCCCGGTCACACCGCCCAGCTCTGCCCGGCCTGCACCAGGAGGCTTAGTGGCGAAGGCGCCCTGGGGGGACCCCCATCCCTCCACCTTGAAGGCGTTTCACAAACACGCGCCGATCTGAGAGCCGGGTCCTCATCCTCAGACCCGCAGCCTCGGCCCCATGAGTGCGGTCGGCTCCCGGGGACAGCTGGCTCCTGGAGGTCGGTGGGCGGCCTGGTCACTGAAGCACCTGAGGGAGGTGAGGGACAGGCCCAGAGGCCCTCTCGAGGGTGGCAGCACGTCTCAGGGGAAGGAGTGCTGACACTCAGGGGGAAGAGAGTGGTCGATATTGGTATTGCAGATGACCGAGAGTTGGAAGGGATGTTTTGGAAACTTCTGTATCCTTCCCCTGCATTTTCCAAGCCCACGTGGCCTATGCCATGGGGGGCGAGGGCGAGGGTGAAGCCATCAGAGCTGCCTTTCCCAGGCCCCCCGGAGCTTGGTCTCTTTCTTCATAACATTTGCGCAAATCCCCAGGGTAGGGGCCGCGGTCGTCATCAGAACTGGTGGGCGGGGGACTAGCTTGCTCTAAAGAATACGCAACATCCATGTTTTTTCCATGTTTTTAATTTCCGTGTTTGTTGGCCGTTTTCATTGTGTTTGTTCCAGGACAAAAGGCTCAAGGAAAGCAGGACGGGAAGACGCCTTCATGAAAGTGACCAGGTTTTAAGGAATTCCAGGAGCTGACGGCCGATCCGGGAGCCAGACGGGGGCGGGGCGGGGCGGGGGTCACTCCTAGATATTGGCAAACTTTGGGAAAGAAATAAATAAAAAGCTCTAATGAGAAAATGGATACCTTTTACAATTGCAGTACTAAGTAACTGTGTATAAAATACTTACGATTCATCATGAAAAGGAGTTTGAGGGAAATCATCATACTTCTAAAGAAATCATCATAAAATATGTGTATAAATGTCAGTCCCTAGCATGTTCCTGGATAGGAAGATAGAACGGTACTAAAAACATTGATTCTGCTCCGATGAATTGGTAGAGTAGTTGATGGAGTAATTAATTACAATGAAATGCCACCATATTTTTGGGAGAATTTGAAAAAGAGTTACAAATTTATCTGGACATTAATAATAAGGTGATTCAAAACAGGAGGGTCATAGAGCGAGGGGGCTGGCTAGCGTTTAGAGTAGCTTGTGCGAGACTTTATTATAGCAGCAGTAGTCAAAACAGTGACAGCAGATCTATCTACACATCAGAGGAAGCCAGACACAGACCATAGTAGATGTAACATTTAATATGTAATTTTGGTGTCACAAGTCACTGGGCAAAATAGAGGGTTATGTGTCAACTAAATATTTAAAAATAAATGACCGATAATGTGACCTCATACCCTAACCCCCCAAATATTCTACTTTAATAAAAAGTTAATTAGAAAAAATAAACCATAATCTTCAGTAGAAAACTTGACTACCTGTTTTGACCTCTGCCTTATAACTGACAAAACCTGACTCACAGTAGCTCCACGGGTCCACACGCACAAAATGATTATTTCCCATTCCCTGCATGTAAAATGAAAGGGATTGGATATACTTCGAAGTCTGTAGACCCCCCACACTGGTCGCTTGGCCTGTGGGGTAAGAGCTATCACAGTGGAAAAGGCCAAGTGGAAACTGGAAACCTACTCCCTCCCTCCCCGGATAGTAAATCAGAAGTGACAGCGCGCTCCCGGTGGGCAGCAGAGGCTCTGCCATCCCGGGGGGCCCGAAGCACACAGGGGTAGTAGCTTCCATCACCTCTCCCTTCAGTTACTTGCAGGGCCAGACTGGACTCCACTGAAGTCTGTCCCTGCCAATAACTGAGTGCTCGTGGAGGCTAAGCGTGGCCTCAGGAACGCAACCAGATGCCAGGCCCAGCCAGGCCCAGCCAGACTCAGCCACACCCAGCCAGACCCAGCTGGGCCCAGCCAGACCCAGTTAGACCCAGTTAGACCCAGCCAGGCCCAGCCAGGCCCAGCCAGGCCCAGCCAGACCCAGCCGGGCCCAGCCAGACCCAGTTAGACCCAGCCAGGCCCAGCCAGGCCCAGCCAGACCCAGCCAGACCCAGTTAGACCCAGTTAGACCCAGCCAGGCCCAGCCAGACCCAGTTAGACCCAGTTAGACCCAGTTAGACCCAGCCAGACCCAGTTAGACCCAGCCAGGCCCAGCCAGGCCCAGCCAGACCCAGCCAGACCCAGCCGGGCCCAGCCAGACCCAGTTAGACCCAGCCAGGCCCAGCCAGGCCCAGCCAGACCCAGCCAGACCCAGTTAGACCCAGTTAGACCCAGCCAGGCCCAGCCAGGCCCAGCCAGACCCAGCCAGACCCAGCCGGGCCCAGCCAGACCCAGTTAGACCCAGCCAGGCCCAGCCAGGCCCAGCCAGACCCAGCCAGACCCAGTTAGACCCAGTTAGACCCAGCCAGGCCCAGCCAGGCCCAGCCAGGCCCAGCCAGACCCAGCCAGACCCAGCCGGGCCCAGCCAGACCCAGTTAGACCCAGCCAGGCCCAGCCAGGCCCAGCCAGACCCAGCCAGACCCAGTTAGACCCAGTTAGACCCAGCCAGGCCCAGCCAGACCCAGTTAGACCCAGTTAGACCCAGTTAGACCCAGCCAGACCCAGTTAGACCCAGCCAGGCCCAGCCAGGCCCAGCCAGACCCAGCCAGACCCAGTTAAGACCCAGTTAGACCCAGTTAGACCCAGCCAGACCCAGTTAGACCCAGTTAGACCCAGTTAGACCCAGCCAGGCCCAGCCAGACCCAGCGAGAGCTGCTTGCCGCGCCCGGTGGTGTCTCCGCCTAGAGCAGAGCATGGGCAGGCCCAAGAGCCTCAAAGGCACACGCGGTCATTTTCTAGAGCCGCAGGATCTGGAGCCCCAAAAGAAGCCAAAGACAAGGAAACAATGTGATTTCCAGTATCACTTAAGGTGTAGCCTCAGGTCGAAGGGCACAAAGACAAACGCTCTGAGCCACCCGTGTCGGAACTGGAAGTCCAGCTGCTTTTCACGGGGCAAATCCTGGCGGTGAGCCCTGGGCCCAGTAACATCAGGCACTGGCTTATGGGAAGGTAGTTAATGACTTTTCCAGGCAACGCCGGGAAAGCCAGCAAATAATTTTATAAAAGTAAGTGGCAAATGCAAAAATGTGAAAAAGCAAAAATGAAACAAAGGGTCTCAGAAAGTTATAGCTGAGGGAAAGAGAAAACCATCAGGCATTCTTGAAAACTAGAAACCTTTTTTGCTTCCATTAAGTGTTCCTGTGGCTTAAGCCAGAGACTGCGTTTATTGCAAAGAGAAGGAACATAATTTAAAATAATACATGGAATGCTAGAACTATATCATCAAAAATGTATTTAAAAGGCCTGGGGTATTTAGCAGTGTTATATGCTAAAATTTTATGTGTAACAATATATTTTTAAGTAATAACTGATATGTTTTATGTTTGTTCCAGCCCCAAATACACACATCGCGCGCGCGCGCACACACACACACACACACACACACACACACACCTCTCTCTTTCTTTAATTTCTTCACTGGTTTTCCCAGGATAGACTCGACTTACATCTGTTATATTGGCATAGTTACTCTGTGTCCCCTTTCCCCACCGAAAGAGCCCCATTCTTGTTTTTATGAGCTTCCTACCTAAGGGTTTTCTTGTCGGGTCAAGTAGGCACGAGCCACCCTGTCATACATAGGAGAGAAACTGTCAAGGTGAAGCAAGCAAATTTTTTACTTTGGGTTCAAAAATCTCTGTCCAAGTGCAAGAAGGATTTAGGGAGGCATCTTATTTAGCTAGTCCTGTCCTCCATGCCAGCCCTGCAACCCCAGGTCTAGCTAAAGACCTGAGCTGGGGCAGGAGAAACAAGAACGCAGGAGCTGCTAAAGAACTGTGGCCAAGTGTGTGCCCGTCATCAGCAACAGAGAGAGTGAGCTCTCCCGCTCGGTAGGAAACCAAGGGTCGAAGGAGGGGCATTTATGTGGAGAACTTGAAAACAATAAAACTTACTAAAAATCACTGTCCATTTTGTTATCAACGTGCACCAGCAATTTTAAATAAGTCATAGAATCCTCCTACCCATCCCCTAAAAAATATTTTGCTGGGCTATGTTCTAAACAATGTGTGTGACTATGGTTAAGGTTCAACAATGTATCTGTAGGCCTCAAATTGGCACGTTCTGGTTACTTATCACTTAATGAACACTGGGTTCTCTATTGGCATCGGACTGGAGAACTGCCAGTCACATGGTTGGTCCCGGGCATCTGTGGACCCAGGTACATACTTTTGTCTCAAGAATAAGTTTGTAAGGACTCAGAACCAGACCAGCTCGCTTTGGACTCTCATGTCTGTGGTACGACACATTCCTGCCTTTAGAGAATGGATTCAAAATAAACAATGCAAGCCTATCGATGGAAAAGATAAAGAACCGGAACCTGAATTAGCCAATTATGTCATTTTATGTGAGCACTTGGAGTTCTTTCTGTTTCACATTTAAAGCAGTGAAACAAAATGCAAACTGCGAGAGGCAAGTTTTTGTTTGGTGAGTGGACGTTTCGTTTTGCATATGAAATACTTTACTGAATTTTAATAGTATTTTTAAATGGAAATTTATGAGTTTTAAGTGATTAACTTTTAAAACTAAAGAAAAATTAAGAAAACAAAATGTTATGTAGTGGTACTTAAGAGATTGTACCTTTTGCTGATGTTTCTTTTCTTTTTTAAAAAAAATTGTTTACTGGACATTTATTTATGTAAAATATTATATCAGGCTGTAACCAAAAGATCAAAGTTCAAACAACAAGGTAGAATGAAAACTATTAAGTAAATAGTCGTGCTTTGTAATATTTTTTTATCTTCTCCTGTTTTACTTATGTGATTATATACATATAAAGTTTAATTAAAAATTTTTCTCTTTCTCTTCTGGCTATTATTATTATTTGTTTCATTTCATGATTATTATGGAAAAGAATTTTGACATATAGAGGGTGAAGGGCTTAAAATATGACCTATCCCAGGTGACAAATATGCTAGGTTTGCCCCCCTAAAGTTGGGGACCAGAGAGTAGGAAGAACCAGTGAGCCACGCCCAGGGGTCAGCTGACATCACTGTAGTCTAGATGCGCCCCTGCCTCGAAGGGGGGGGCGACACCGGGTGGAGGTGGCTAAGTGCCTGGAAGGGGTGATGCGGGACCCACCCCCTCCAGGCCAAGAGAACAGCTGAAGCTAAGACCCCGTGTCTTGCAGGAGTTTCAGTGTCTTGGGGAGGGTGAGCCCCACTGGAAACTGATGGAACTACACCTTTGGGAAATAGAACCATGGGGCCGGATCCCAGAAAGGCACCTGCGACAGTCACAGACGCTGGCAGAATGCTTTGGCTGGGGCACATGCCAGCACAGGACAGAGGGGAGTGGCAGACGAGACTCCACTCCTCTCCCGTGTCACTCAGGTTCCATCCTTGGGGCAGCCGATCAATGTTTCTCTCTCTCCCCCTTCTACTCTCTAAAAATCAATAAAAAAAATTTTTTTTTTAAACTGATGCGTGTCATCGCAGGTCTACTTTCTCCAAACGGGAGAAAGGCTCATGGGAGACCCTAACAGATTTTATGGGTTCCACACTGCTCCCTCCACAGTCTGCAGGTTTCCTAGACATTCCCTAGCTTTCTTAGGTGGCTTCAGCCCCCAAAGGGCACTAACGATCCCCAATCATAATTTAAATCTTCCGTCGTGTCAACATTCTCCCAAACACAATAACCACCCCTTCCCTGCCCTCATTCACACAGTCTAAAGTCCACTGGTTAGCTTATTCTAAATATTCATCTGAAATCAATGAACATAGAAATTTCAAATGTTCTGGTACTTATAAGTTAGAAAAGCAAGAGAAATGGTCTTACTGATTATACTTTAAGTTAGGGCTTTTAAACAATAAAGAATAAAGCTGATATATATAGTTTTAAAAAGAAAATATCTCTTGGGAAAGGCGTTCCTAGATTAAGGCACAGTAGGCCCTGAGTCGTGTGAGTTATAGGTTTTCTTAACCTTCCTCCCTTGAACCGCACTGTGGGTCAACAAGGGTAGGACTAGAGCAATCCAGAAGAGCTAGAGACATTTTAGTTCAACAAAAAGAACTGCAAAGAGCATTACTGGGAACATTCCTGCAGAGGTTTCCGGGATGTATCAGGCGGTATTCAGGCGTCACATACTAGGTTCAGCCTAAGAAACAAGCAAGACCCCTTTGTACAAAGAGAGTAGAATGAAATTTACCTGGTGCCTAGCAGTTGCAGAATAAACATTAGATTCTTCCCACCCATGGGTCTAATCACATATATTGGATGTATTTCTAAAGGGGTAATTGAATACATTCTAGATTCTTCCAGAAGCTCACAATTTTCTTACATGGGGCCACCGAGCAAGGAAGAGGAGGGGAGCAAAGGAGGAACGTTCTCCCTGATGTCACCAGCTCTTGTCTGCCTGGTGTGCTCAGCCCCTCCCGGCGGTGACTGCTTTGGGCCTCATGCTCTCCACCACCGCTGAAATCATGGCTCCGGCGGCCTTCGCTCCTTGCATCAGCGCCTGCTCCACCTGCAAAGCAGATCAGTTCACAGGACACTCAGGGACCATCCGAGGCTTGTCCCCTGCCCGACCCTGCCCGCGACACTTCCCTTCAGGAGCTCGCCTGCCAGGGAGCCTTTCCTAGAGCAGGAAGCAACCTGTGCTCTATGTTTCCAAAGATCCTAGAGCTGCAAGAGACCCAGAGAAGCCAGGAGGGCCCCGGACACACCTCAGAGGCAGGATGTATAATAAATACTTCCTCTGCCAGTCTCATGGGGTTTTAATAGGGAGCAAATATTAACAAGAGCAGTTCAAACTGTCACAGAGACCTCGGCTTTCAAAGCTCTTCTGCGTGTACTGTGCCACATTGAATGTGTCACGGTCCTATATTATGGGGATGGGTCACAAACCCAAATGCAGTAGGTCCAGGCAGGTGATGTGGGTGAAGCTGGTAGGTGGCACGCCTACCTTCACCCATCTAAAGGGGGAGCCAGGACTGGGCCCCACAGTGTCAGCAAGCAGGGACACGGGCCCAACGGCCTGATCAATTGGTGGTTCAGAGAGGCTGGGAATCCATATCTTCTTATATAAAATTTCTGTATTTTTAAATGTTGACAAGTAATTCAAAAAAATACTAGTCATTCAAGCAAAACATGTAGCTTGCGACTTGAGCAGAGAAGCATCTGCCTTGGTTTATCCCTGTTTCGTAAAGGAAGGGACAGACTCAGAGGTAAAGTGACTTGACCGAGGAGACCGGCCAGCTGATGGCCAAGCTGGACAGCACTGGTGGCCTTACTATGTGCCTTGTCTACTCCTCCACGGGGCGATAGACATGAAAAGAGCCGTAGAGTCCTGTTGAAATGGAAGGGCCCTCCAGTGCAGCAGACATGAAACCACTGATGGCCACTGTGGTCCGAGACGAGGGGCCCGGACGGCGCCGCGGAGGCGGTCGGGCCGGCGGCGCCTACCTGCTGGCTCCTGGGGACGCCGTATCTGAGGTCGTTGACAAAGTGCTCGCAGTTGCCGTCGATGAGGCTGTACTGCACGATCCTGTCGATCATGTTCTTCGTGCGCTGGATGATCTTGTCCACCGGCAGCGGCAGGTACGTCCCATCCAGCTTGTTGTTAACCTTCCAGGAGCAGCCGTGCAGCACGTCCTCCAGCCGACTGCACTTCACCACGGCCCGGTTGCTGAAGATGGACGTGATGCTGCCGGCCACGAACTCTTCACCTGGAAGCCAGAGGCAACGCTGGAGAGCTGCCCCGGCCGGCGAGCTCGGCGGTCAGAGCGCCGGGCCGCGCACCGAAGGGTTGCTGGTTCAAGGGCACGTGCGTGGGTTCCAGGTTTGATCCCCAGTCCCCCCGTGGGAGGCAACCAACTGATGTGTCTCTCTCACATCAATGTTTCTCTCTCTCTCTCTCTCTCTCCATCCCTCCCCCCCCAGTCCCTCCCACTCTCCCTAAAAATGGAAAAAATATCCTCGGGCGAGGGTTAACAACAACAAAAAGTGGGAGAGCAGGGGCAGGGCCCTGGCTCACGCGGGTGCTGGGTAAGCTGCCGTCCTCCGGGCCTCAGCTCACCACCCCGAGACGGGGCAGGGGTGGGAGGTGGAGTCCACGAGCTAAAGGACCGGCTTCCCCAGGAGGCCTCGGCCTTGCTCTGCCCCCGAGGCCGCCGTTCTCATAAAACTCTGAAAGTGCCTTACGGTGTGGCCGCAGGCTGCACTGTGTCGCACTAACCAGACTTCAGGAACCTTCACACACGTGTGCCCAGCGCCTCGGCGAGCAGGCGTCCGCCCCCGGGTGGGCCTCTCCTGGGCCCACGGCCTGCTCCTCCGCAGCCACCGCGGACAGGGCTCCCGATGGGACCTGCTCCACCCGCTGCCACCCAGAGCCACTCTGCCTCTCTCTCTGCTCAAATATGGGGGTCCTCATTAAGGGTTTATTTGAAACCAGGGTTCCATAGCTTTGAAAGAAGAAACGTTTGCAAGCTGCCGTATTATCACATCCAGCTCAGAGAGGACCAGGACCTGCCCACAGTGGGGGGCGGTTTAAAACCAGGGCTGTTTTTCTGCAAATGTGTGTACCCTCCCCACCCCCCTTGTAAGCTGTTTGAGGGCAAGTCATATATCTCCCTTGCTCTTTTCTTACATATTTGAAGAAAATCTGCTGATTTCACAAAAGCTGGCAGGAGGCAATTCAGCCTTCAGAGCAGTGGTGTTTGGTAGCAGAGGCGCAGCTCTGTCACACAGTAAATTAGGCGCCCCCAAATTAGGCGCCCCCCCTCGGTGTCGCACTGCGGGAGGCCTTGGCGGAGGGGGGGGGGGCTAACCGGCCTCCTCCTACTCTGCTGACTTAGAATCAGCCTTTCAGCGCAGCGGCTCTTACTCGGGGGAGCCAGGTGGACCACACGATCGTCCTCCACGTAGATGGCCCAGTGCTCGTAGCCAATTCGAAAAATCTCAATCAGGTCCCCAGGCTGTGGTCTGCCCTATGATGGAAAACATAACAATAAAGACAATGCACATGCCCAAGGAACTTGAGGCCCTGCTCGGGGCTCGCTGCAGCTCAGCCTGAAGACACCCGTTTCCTCACCCAGGCTGGAGAAAGCCTCTCCACACCCAGGAGCAGGTGCCCCCCCCCCCCC